GTACTTCATACTTTATACTAATACATACTATGTAATTCATGTCCCTTTAAAATAACCCAACGACTGAATAATTTAGTATACGACTTAAATTTAATTAATTCAATTCATTATAATTAATCACTGATATAACAGATGGCGTTAATGTTTTCATAGTTCAACATTTTATTTGAGGTGTTCAATAAACCATTGATGAGAAGAGTATGCTTTTAAAACACCATTAATTATAATTCACTTCCCCACAATAATCAAGGTTTGGCAATTCATCAAATAAAATAGGTTTAATAGTGAGTTTGAGAAATAAACCAATACAAAGTTTCATCAGCGCCCCATTTGATGCGAAACGCGATATTTTAAGAAAATATATGTATCTTTTTATATGAAGCTGTCGAGTTCTTCGCTGATATATTAACGACGGGAACGTCATTACGCTGACACTAAGATATTAATAGAATGTGTTCATTGCCCACTTTTACAAAACCATCCTCTTTCCGGTACACTCAGACAACAGTTTCAGCTATTTAAATATAAAAACGTTAGCAAAAAAGTATGCAGAATGTTTGTTACAATTTGGAAAACCGTGGAACAGTTTTTTTAAAGTATTTATTCGTATCAAACTTGATCTTGTTGCATCTGCAATTTACCACTGGTAGTAACCGGTCGTGGAAGATTTTGAGTACCAGGCCCCCTTTAGCGCAAGTTGATCGCAATTTTTTCATATCCTGCCTCTTTGGATGATCAGTTGCACACACGATTTGAATGTTCAAAGAAACGCGTGAGAGAAGAGTATTTCATCATTCAGTGCATCGCCTATAACCCGCTTTTGAAACCTTATAAAGAATGTACCTTAAATATTCCAATATAGAAATGTTTTTAATTCTGATTTAAATCAATAAAAGGAATTAAATAAGAATCGATAAAAATGTCATAAGTAATTAGGTGTTAAAGCGTCTCTTTATGAGTGATGAACGAATGTCGACGATATTACTGACGTCTGTTTCAATTCTGTGCTTAATCATTTTGATGATCAAAAGATCTTATGAAAACAAGTATAGTATGAACAAATCGTGGGTTTATAAAACGCTTTAAGTAACGATCCACATTTGAAGTTACTTCCAAGTAGTTCGTAATTGCATTTTGCAATAATAATGTACATTACCACACTTAGTATCTAGTGAACACGGTATATACTTTTTGATATAGCAATACCTGAACAGGTTTAGAATGTATAAAACACGTGGGGTTTCCCCGACCTTGTTTTTATTTTAGGAAACGACCTCTATATACCTACAATCTTCATATTTATAAAGTGCTTAAATTACTATATTTTATAGTTTTTATCAAATTAGTTCCTATATGAATACAAATATGGGAATAAGAAACGAATTACGAAATTCCAACATACGGGTATGTACTTACGACGCGAATATAAAAAAAATATACATTTTATTATCATCATTCATCGTCAACAGCCTTAATATACCACTGCTGGACATAGGCCTCTACTTAAAATGAAGGTTTTGGCCTACTATACCACGCTGACCAGACGGGTTGGTATAGAGTTTGTTGCAAGTTTTCCTTCTCTTTGCAGTGCTGGGTCAGTGCTTCATCCCGTGGGTGTCGTAAGAGCCGACTAAGGGAGCAAACTACGCAGGACAACAGCACTGCAAAGAGAAGAAACTCGAATCAAAACCTATACCAACCCCATAAATTAAGCCTACCAATGAGTAATTACTCGGTTTACAATATTCAAAAACGAATCAAACATAAAGAAAATTGAAAATGGTCAAAGAAAGAATCTAAACATTTACAAGTTGAATATTTCCTTACAAAATCCGCCTAATAAAATACTTCCGTAAGTCTAAAACTCTATAACTCGAATTATTTGGCGTCTACCTTGAAGTCCGGCTTACAGAGGTTCTACTGTAAAAGTTTTAATAAAGAATAAACTTACATGATAAAGATAAGGTGATTTTATTAAAATTATTTTACAATTATAAAATTTTTACAATTCATCATAAAAACTTACAATATACTGAAATTATAATACATGGAAATAAATTAGATTTGTATTACATCGTGTGTAGATTAAATCTCCAATAAATAAGTCTGAAGATATCGAGTTAGTACATCGTGTCGTGTATAGCCGAGGGCATCACCCGCCCCGCGTCCCGCAAACCATCGGGAGAGCCAAGCTTACGGCGGTTTAACTATAAGTGAAGGAACATTCTAATCACCAAGATGGCCGGAGTGGCCTCTCTTGTTTCGAGCTCTACTATAAATCTGCTAAAATTCACGTGTTATGGATCATCAATACTGTTTTTTAAAACTCTACAGCTGTTATTTTTTGTAAACAAATTTCTAGTTTGATCTCTTTGATTTAATTAAACGAAGTTATTTTTAAGGGGACTGTTTTCTCTTTATGTCCTTTTTAAACGTTACTTTCTAAAGTTAAATGTCATTCAGCTCCTTTAGACAAATTTTGCTCATTTGTTACTAAATTCTGAGTTTATAAATATAACTTTGAATACGTTTTATACGTAATTGGCCTTGACATAGTAATTAATTGTCTTTTGTGTTCAAAACTAAAGGTTAAAACCGTTTTAACCTTTAGTTTGGTCTGAAACCATTATGAAGGCATTGGCGGTATACATACAAGTTAAAAAGTAGATTTATGTATATCTTAAATAATGAAAGCTTACGGTTCATGCCTATTGTTGAAATCAATATTTTATTTATAATAGATATAACATATTTTTATACATCTTAAGACGACCTTTGTTCACTCAAGCAGAGGTATTTCTCTTTAAATTTGATTCTTACTATACTGTAAATCTTTTATACCTATGTTACTTCCATATTTTTTTTTCTCTCTTTCTATCTTGAAATTCGTTAAAAAGTAAAGCTTTTAGTATATATTTCAACATATAGCACTAACATAACGTATATATTAAAATATTTGCAACCCTTATTATGTAAACATTAATTGACATAGTTTTTATGCATCAACCTTGAGTTCAATCACGGTCACTCTTAGAGACATATTTTTTACATTTCATCACAACACTAAGTCGTCGCTAAGTACTTTAAACCTTGTTTACTTAAATAAAATATGTATGCATTTCCACAACGTTTCATTTTGAAGCCAATGCTATAGCTTTATATAAATAGTAAGGGCACGATTTATCGTTTGTGTAAATGCTGGAATAATCTAGACTACCTATTGTTTAATAAAGGTGATGATGATGATGAGAAAGCATGTAGAGTTTGTTAAGATATTCTTTATATGCCAGGCAATGTCTATTACATATGTATTCCATTAACAAAACATAGCCATCGGAGTTCTTTAGAGTTGTTTACTTATTTTAAAAGAAAGAAAAAAAATGTTTTATACCTAAATCCTTACTTAATTTGAGCTATATTTTTGGTTTTATAAATATTATTGATAAATACGATCTCTTTTACACACATATATTATTGACACAAACTTCTAAAATATGTGCTACTCTTTGCGAAAGTTGTTTTTTACATTGGAGCCAACTCACAAAAATGTAATACTACTCTACTAACACCATGACAATGTTAATTTTTGTATGTCTTCCTCATATGCAAATTTAACACGATTGAAAAAGCAAAGCAATAAATAAATTATTTCAATGCAAATAATTACAATATTGTGAATCAATATTAAACAATCAATTAAACTCATATTCTATAAATACTCGTAGGTAGTGTGATTACACTTTAGCTGATGTGATGAAAATTTTAATATGGTAATACTGAGTTTCGAGTGAACCAGACCGTAACAGGTTTTACAATCTCCGACTTACGATGTCAAGTAGAATAATAATGAGTTGAAGATGATTAAATATATATAAATATTTTTTTTACATTTATTAAACTAAACTTACTTTATTAATTAATACAACACACGTTTGTGACTCTTGAATTGCAGACGTTCATGGGCGACGATGGTCACTTTTCATCAGGTATCCCGTCTGTTCGTCTGCCCCCTTTAACATAAAAAAAACATTTCCCTGTTTCTAAAAAAGTATTTAAAGCTTTTTTAGAAACGAAAGCGGAAAAGCTTTTTTAGGGCTACTTAACTGAATTCTTTATTAAAGAATGATGTAAATTTTTCTTATTCAATTTTTTTAGCTTAGTTATGAAAAAATTGATATGTACATCAATGGATGTTCTACATAATTAAAACTTATTATGCAGAATATTAAAACGATTTTTATAACATAAACCACTTCCCATGTTTGAACGTGACTAATCGTTTATTGGGTCTTAGTATTCGTATGTTTGTAAATAGATATTGACCTTCCCTTGAACGATATGAAATATGGTGTGGTAGAAAATATATGGCGTTCTGACGAAGACTTCAAGCTTGGGATGGGTGGTCGTTTAATAAAAATAAATAGCAGAATACTAACGGCTATGTTGATGATGATAGAGTTGTAGAAAATAGGCTACACGAACGTAATAAGCTCTTAGTTTCCTAAACTTAAGTTCATTTACCGTATTATAGTTTATTGCAGCCTATTTTCTTACTTTTTGTTATGAAGTACTTAATTGGGACAAAAGATGAATTAATTTTTGTTGTAAAGTATAGGCTTGTGATAAAGACCCCGGAGAATTACTTATTCCGATACAATATTTACGAAAGACTCCAACGGTCAACATAATCTAACATCGGTTGTAAGATAATATAAACGACTCAATAACTGTTACTTCTCTAAATAGAGTATGTTTGCTCAAATATTCGACCTAAGTCAGTTTTGAGTTAGGTAGGTTACCGTTTTCGTTAATAATGTCGAATGACGTGGCAAAAGTAATGTTTATAAACAGTGAACCGTAGTGAAATCTACGATATACGATCTTTCTGTCATAACCTAATTTGATTACTGTTGTACAAACGTAAAGCACTTGTAATAATGTGGACTGAAAATCAAATATTTTGTGACATTATACTAATATCATATTTCTTGTTGTTACAGGTTTGTCATCAATATACTGGCGACGAATCTTTTAACAACCTCCCTGCTTGCGCCCGCGCTCTTTGGCGAGCACTCTGCGAGGGAGAACGCCGCGTCGTGGGTAGAGGCTGGTGACGCTGCGGCTGCAGGCAGCAGTTTGGCTGCACTACTGTCCGTCATGCTCATTGCGTTGGATCAGCACCACGCTGTCACTGATCCACTGCGTTGCCACACTCGCTTGCTGCAGCGCCGTCCCGCTACGCTCTGTGCCGGCACTTGGGTAGCCGCAGCCTGTGCTGCAGTGCTCCGTGCTGCCATTGCAGTAGTACGACATTTCTGCCCCCTCGAGCCCGCGCTACAGGGAGTCGAATTAGCATACTATATAGTGTACTTACTGTTAGGAGTTATTACACCTATTGGAATCGTCTGTATCATGTACGCAAGAATTTATCGTGCTGCGCGCTCTTCAGGTCTTAGAGCACGAGCTCACGGTGCCAGCGCATTACAGCTACACGAACCTCCGACAATTCTACCTGATCTTGTTGAAGAAGGAGAGGGTCTAACGCTAAAGATAGACGGACCAGAAAATTCTGTAATCGTGGAAAATGAACGCAAATTTGGTCCATTCCTTCTCCCACCGGAACGACCAATTCGTTGCCCTTCAGTAGCCAGTTTACGCAATTCTCGAAGAGAAGGAAAGTCTAACGAGGATCTCAGAAAGGGCCTACCAGCTGTTAGTTCAGCGCCCTTACTAGCAGCACCTCTACTTGCCGTGCAGCAGCGTATACCTCAACCATCTCATGCTGGATCTAGAATATCCTCAATCAGATGTCGCATTTCAAATGCATCATTATTTAGATATAGAGAAGAATCTCGCGCTGCTCGCGTTGGCCTCCTAACGGGAGCCCTTGTAATGCTTCATGTACCGCACGCTGTTACAGCTGTTATTTCAGCGACTGTGCCTGGCTTGGCTGACTGCGCGCGTACACCGTCGTTGGCGCTATTACTACTAGCATCAGCGGCTTCACCGTTCCTATTCGCGCTGCGATCGCGGCGAGTGCAAAGAGAAGCACGTCGGCTATTGTTACCGGAGAAGAGCGCCTGGGAGCGGGCGTCAGGCGTGGCGACTGCTGCTGCAATAGACGGACAGAGAGCCCGTGCTGCACTGGAGCTTCTGCGTACCTTGTCACCGGGCAACGGCTCTGCTGACACATCTGCACCGTCAGGGAGTGAGTCCAGCGCCTGCCGAGCCTCGTTCAGCTCGGGCGGCAGCACGCAGCTATCGTCCGCGTCGGACGAGTGACCCACGCTTCACCCACCGCGGGTACGATTCGCCCCGCGTCCCACCGCTCTCCTCATCTGTGATACTAGGCTAAGCTGCACCGCGCTCGGCGCGACCGTTAGACTGATTTAGTATTAAGTTAATTTATTGTGTCCATGTACCTTTCTGCTAAGCGGAGCCAATTTTTATTACCTGATATACGTGTAAGAGAATATAAAATACAAAATGAAGTGTAATATATTATGTAGTTTCAATTTTGACCCTGATGGTAGCGGTTCACCACCGAACCGCGACGAGAATTAACATGTAAATGGATTAGAAATGTGAAGGTTGAGTGTGTTAAGTAAGATCGCAACACATACATAAATTTCAAAACACTAGAAACTTTTTGTTGAATACTTGGCTGAACGACAAAGTAAATTTGTAAGTGAAATATTATACAGAAAAAATAACAAAGACACTATATTTTGACAACAACAACGTTAATTTTAATAGTAAACAGTATTAAAATCAAACATCAAAATGAGCTATCGAACACATAACATTTGAAAAGATAAAAAAAAAACAAAAAGCTGGTCTGCAGTGAACTAATAGTAGTAATATACATATATGTAAATTAGAAAAATACTTCTTATAACAAAAGTAAATCTGCAACAATTTCATTGGAGTCTTGAGTAGCGTAAATTATTTATTTGAATAGATTGTAGATTAACATAACATTAAAGATGGAAATATGTATTTTTAAATAAACAATTTAGCGTTAAAGAATATTTTGTTAAAGAAAGAAATCTAAAGGAATCTATATTTTATATTTAAGCTAATCTACACAATACGTAGTCAAGTGATAGTTGTTAAAGAACAGCCGAAACTGAATCCTTGTTGACTTTCTAGCTAGAGTTTCAATTACAATTTTATAATGAATGATTGATAAAAAGGAAAATGTACTATAAAAAATCATTCATCAAGAAAGCCATACTACGTAAGAAGACTACACCAGATGCCGTAAATATAGTAAGTATTCTGAGCAAAGATAGTAAGTATGAAAAGAATAAATAAATTAACATAAGGGAGGATACAATCAGACTCGCAGAAGGGTTCCGTACCATTATCTATAAAGACGGCAAAAAAAACTTGGTACGGAACCGTTCCCTACAGAACGAGTCCGTTGGTATATATATTTGTTGTTATGGCGGCAACAGAAATACAAAATCTGTGAAAATTTCGCCACCAGAGAACTTCTTAAAAGATTAGTTATAATTAGAGTTATCGAAACTGAAAAGAGACGCTTCAGTGGCAAATCAAAATAAAAAGTAAAAAAAAAATCCACTATCTACGATCTCGGTTCCAAGCCCAATCTGTTGGCCTCGTTAAAACAAATAATATAATCCGAAATCGGGTTGCTCGGATGGTTGAAGATGCAAAACTCCTTATCCTCTAAAATAAATAAATAACCATGAGCAGCCTTTAATAGTCCACTGCTGGACATAAGCCTCTCCTTAGAAAGGAGGTTTTGGCCTACTATACCACGCTGGCCAGACGGGTTGGTATAGGGTTTGTTTCAAGTTTTCCTTCTCTCTGCAGTGCTGTTGTTCTGTGTAGTTTTCTCCCTTAGTCGCCTCTTACGACACCCTCGGGATGAATAGAGGTGGTGACACTCTGTATTCTTAATCCGTCACCACACGGACAAAATACATAACAAATTTACATATCTTATACATGGCCGTTTGATCTCAAACTAGGCTGTACTATGAAAATACTGATATATGTATTTCTTTCTTAAAATAGATAAACTGCAAATATACACGAGACAAATGATACATGACACAATATTTGTTCTAAGTGGGAAGCCAACCCATGAACTCTGTCTTAGCAGTTAGGATCGCAAACCACTGGGCTAACGGGTCCGTCAGTACATATACATTCAAAGTTACGTTTCGATATAGCAATTAAAAGTAGCATAGAATTGACTTTCAAGATTAAAGCGTCTTAAAAAATGGATTCAGCATCCGGCATTGCTTATAAAGGAGACATAATTCTATTCTCGGTTGTTTACAACTTATGCCAGACTTTACCGGCAAACAGAAGTATGATGTAACATCATAAATTGAATTTACATAAAGGATAGATTTAGTCTTATTATATAATCTTGCTCAATCGTAAAAAGTAACTATCGCTTTTATCAAAATAAGGATATTTATATATATCCAGTCTTTCTAACTTTTATTTTTAACCGAATTCAAAAAGGAGGAGGTTGTCAATTCGAATATTTAAATAATATATATTTTTTAATGTATCTTCGGGCATAACTCGGTCATATAAAGACGGTTTTTTAAAATTTCTGTATTTTTTCGAAATTAGTTTATTCCGAAATGGTCCCATTTAAATTTCATATAGATCTGATGATGAATTTCGGACACAGACAACGGAAATATTCAAAAAAGGACAGCAAATATTCAAAAAAGTTTTTAGTGCTCTTTGTTGGTATTGTTTGAAGTTGGTTTAACTTCTTTTTAAAAAGGATTTATTATTTAATATTCCTTTTGATTAATGTTTCATTATAATGTTTGATATACTGACTCGAATTTATAAATAAGTTCTTACCTAGATCTTCAAACATCTTATGTTCGCTTTTACCTACTCATTTGACTAGCGAATGGATTGGTCAAGGTTAGTGAATCCAACTTGATGACTCTACACAAACTTTTCTAATATTCTGCACTTACAATTGTGACCCAAGTAATGGTGGCTACTAGAATCTGTGGTACATAAACAATCGTAAAATCAGAGGTGGCCGACCAGCACAGCACCACCATTATTAGTACACCAAAACCACAGTATAGTAGTTCTGGTGTACTAGTCAGTTTATGACAGGAACAAATTGTTTTTGTGGAATACTGCCGACTGTCAAAATTACTTTCTGAGAAACGCAGCTTCCAATTTAAAAGGAACATAACATATTCCCTTATTCAATGCTCAAGAGAAAGGTAAGGTATTATTTTTTTGTACTTATTGTTCATCAAGATCTCTTATTACCGGAGACTATCAAGTATAAAAGAAAATATATAGAAAACTCTTTATTTGTACACCGTTTTACTAGAAGTATGGTACATAAAAATGTCAGACATGTAATGTACAAAGGGCGGCAACCTTAGGATGGATTAAAATGTTCCGGAGAGACAGTAGTAGTGTGAAGGTGCAATGAGTTTTGTTATTTACTAATGAACTTAAAAGAGGTAAAATTAAATAAATATTTACACATGAAACATTTATTAAAAATAGGTATAAATTTAATGTTTCTCTGTTTTTCTTTTTTAAATTTAATGATGTGAATTGTGAATGTGAATATACATCTACAAAAATATAGATAACTAGATTTTACCGCATATATATCGGTTATCGCGATAAAAAGTAGCCTGTGTCCTTCCTCAAGAATCTAACTATCTTTATACGAAATCAACGTCTAAATCTATTCAGCGGTTATTCCCCAGATTCCCCAGATAAACTTCCACCAACCTTTTTACCCCCTTAAAGGATAACCTTGGAATAAAAACTATATAATGTCCTTTCCCGGCACTCAAACTATCTCTATACCAAATTTCATATAAAAAGTTCAGCGGTTTAAGAGTAAAGAGCAGACAGACAGGCAGACATACTTTCGCATTTATAATATTAGGTATTTATAGTATGGATGAAGGTTGCATTTCATCATTTGTTGGCGAAGTGGTTTAAGCGCGCCACGCCGCTTCCTAATACGCCGAGTGTTGTGGGTTCAAACCCCACAGGGGACGACACTTTGTGTGATCCACAAATTGTTGTTCTGAGTCTGGGTGTTATTTGTGTCCGTTTCATATATATTTGTAAAGTCCCCGCGACACAGGATATATTCCTAATGCGGGAGTTGTCTTTTTAAAAAAAAAAAGTCATATTAATTTATGACACAGAGGGCAATCGAGCAAACGGGTCACTTGGTCGTCAATGACTACTGCAGTAGTAGTCGTCTATATATGTAGATGTCGGGCTATATGCAACCCAAGAGTCTCAAGTTCGTTGAGTTTTAAATAAAAATTAAATTAAACAATCAATTCAATAGTACTAGTGAATTTCTAACACCATTGAATTTCAGATGTTAGCAATGTCTAACTAAATGCTATGAATAAGTACGACTAAATAGGTACGAGTAGGCTAAATAAGTACGACTTTATTTTGAACATAAATGTTGTGTTGAAAATAATAATATTGTGAATTATATAAAATTTACAAAATTCCACGACACGGTTTCAACTAAAAACATTTCTATCGTAAATTGTAAGCGTAGTTACGTTACGTTCTAGTGACCTATCACCCTCATTATGTTATACTAAAGATACTTCAGTTTGCTATTTGGTGTCTAACTCTAACTGTCCAGTACTTTTTGACACATTCGATTCCAAATACAGCCGAAAACTAAAATATTTGGCTGTATAGCACAGTATGACGTCACAGCTTGTTACTTCAACCTGCAAACTACTTTTTGACGTTTAATAATGGGATAACTGATTTGAGTTGACCGTTTACTAGTGTATAGCGTCAGAGTCTATTATATCAAACAGCAGTACAACACCTGCGTAGAGACGGCGATGCGGCACCTTCAAAATAATCTAAAACAATAAATCAATTTTACTATCCCTTGCTAAATATGGGGCCCGTAATATCCCTTGCTACATAAATGGTGATGTTAGCAATCAGGAAGTAACTAGTACTACTTTGGTTAGTACCCCGTTGATGGCCCCAAAGAGGTTTTACGACTAAAGTAAGTCCTTGGCACTGTTAACATCATGAAGCAAAATTTTCACATTCAACAAAAGTACTTTTTTTCTTTATCGGTATACTTTTTCAAAACAGTGACCAGAGTTTCTATGACCTAATGTACATATGTATGTGTATGTATGTAAGTACAATCAATACAAAATTAAAATTTGATTATTACAGCGACAAAAACCTAGGTTCAGTGTGATCACAGATTAGCCGCTAGCAGGGTTGTC